CCTGAATCCATGTAAGATAGCAATGGCTAGGCTTGACTGTCCTGAATGCATCAAATAAAATTAAAAAGTCGTGTGTTGAATATTTGTTTGGATAAAGGGCATGCATGTACCGGTACACAGGATTAACTTCGAATCATAATACCTTCATGCATGTTAAATACAAGTGTGTTGCAGTATTTCATTCACGAGTGACTGACAGTTACTGGAACTGTAGTGCTGTCTTCACAGCAACGCAGCTTTGGTGTAAGCACTGTTGATATATTGATATTATCGATATGGGTTTCATATCGATTGCTGATGTTTAGTTATTTGGTAATATCAATATATTGAAAATATCAGATTTTGGAGAAATATCAAAAGTGTGGAAACTTTGAAAACATTGATATTGAAAAGTGCATCAAAAATATCGCTACTGAGGAATGAACTTTAATTAAAAAATACCAAACTGCATTGTCACATTACTGTAATTTTTGATCAGCCACAGCTTGCGTTGGTTGCGTTGTACCTTATACTCCGGGCGGCTTATACGCCGACATTTGAAGAATAAATTCAGTCACCTATTTCAGTCTTGCACTCAATAATTTGCGTACACTTTGCCTCAAAAATATCTCAAAATTTATCCTCCAAAACAGAGAATTATTTGCTGTCCTAACAGACAGCAGTGGAGGAAAGGTGAGCCTTTCTCCCGTCTGGTTTTTTTTATTAAGATGAATAATTTCCCCAGAAGCACTTGATGATGTTTACATTGGTTGTTTTGCCCCATCACTGATGTTTTTTGTAATACTGTAACTCAGTGTTGTACGAAGGCTTGTGAAAAGTGTTGATATAAATCGCATCTCGTAAGTATGTTTTGTGCACTACCCTTTTTAAAAAATGTCTCTGTAGCTTATACGCCGACATTTGAAGAATAAATTCAGTCACCTATTTCAGTCTTGCACTGAATAATTCGCATACAATTTGCCTTGAAAATATCTGAAAATTTATCTTTCAAAACAGAGAATTATTTGCTAACCAAATATATGTAGACTAGCACCACATGCTGATGATATCGCTATGCATGGTAGCGTGTATGCCATCCAATGTAGGCAACGTATGCAATATGGACACTAGAACATGTCGCAAAAGTGAATTGGATCACACCATTACAGTGTAGGGGTATACCCTTAGAACAATTCACCAGCAATTCACGCCAGTTATAATACCTTGAAATTAAAATGAATAAAATTCAATATATCGATAATATCGATATAAAAAAACAATATATCGGTATATCGAGGTTGCCTACTTTGGTATAGCATGTGAGTTTTCAAATATAATTTTTGGGAACTGACAAAAGGAGAATCCTTGATTTTGAAGAGGGTATATGTCTGCATATAACGTGCTATAGACCTTATGCATCTGACGACACGTTAGAGGGTATTTCTTTCTTCCTCTAGGATAGGCTGAAGTAAACCTTTTCTGCATTCATTGTAGCTAAATTAAAATAAAGAATAGCTTCTCACTCCGCCTTAACACATAAGTAACCTGGGATAGCTTTGTAGAGACATGAACATAGAGACTGGGGGCGTGATGGCTTAGGCTCAACTTAGTACAAAACCCTTTAACAGTATCATTTCCCAACATTGCCTAAGTGTGCTGAATTTAGGCAAATTGGCAGAGTAATTTTCATCCCCCTCAAGTATCGTAACCCTGTCTGTGCATATTCCAACACTCATCCCGTTAGTGGAAGATCCATCAGGGAGGCACTCGGGGGGAAGGGGTTTAGTTTGCTGCTGGCAAACAGACATTCTGAGAACATTTATTTGCATGTTGACCCGTCTCTACATCTCCAACTTGCTAGTCGAGACACACGGCATACCTTGAAGGAGATGAAATTCCCCCTTGGGTGAGCCAGGAGATGTGCATCTTAAAGCAGATATCTAGCAAATAGATATACAGTGTTGTCTAACCTACCGGTACATGTACATGCAAATGCACATGCATGTAGTTAGAAAAACAATTGCAAACCTCGCAAAACAATGCAACTGTTAAGTGAAATAGGAAACAAAGTGAAACGGGTGGACTGATGCATAAAATTAATAATGTTTAAAGTAAAAGTACATTTTTTTGCCAATGCTTAAAGTAAATGCCTGTCATTGGAAAACCTCTTTTGAAACCCTAATGTGGAGGTGTTACGAAATATTGACTCAGCTGATTAGTAGACGTACCCAAAACATCTTGTTATTTTGGCCGGCTCCGGCCAGCTGAGTATCAAGCAACATTGATCGCAGTTCTCTTAAGCTGTCCGTGGTGACTGATGTCACCCACCTATGCCCTTGGCTCAGCACTGCAATCAATAGAGCCGGAATTCCTTGATCCAATTAAGATGGGGCTTCTTGGCAGAAGACTCCTACGTACCTTAAAACCCTTAACCTACTTATTCCCCAATCCGATTGCCTGCACAGCCTGCATTCAGCCCACCTGTAACACATACATGTAACAAGCAGGGGCCAATTTCATGGAGCTGCTTAAGCACGAAATTTGCTTAAGCACAAAAAACCCTTGCTTAAAAAACAAAGGTTACCAGCTTAAAAGCTATGTGGTTGTCATGTTAACCAAACAACAGGTGAATACCATTCCAAAACAACATACATCACCTGGAGTTTTGGTTTGTACCGGTAACCCGATGAGTCAAAAAAGGTTTTTTTCACGCTGAAGCAAATTTTGTGCTTAAGCAGCTCTATAAAATTGGCCCCTCAGTTCAGCACCAAGCTTAGCAATCCCTCAACAAGAAGCAGAATCCATCTGTTTTGAAAGGCCAAGGTTCATATGTCATGTCAGTCTGTTTTTTTTCCTTATGCCGTTGTCTGGTTTGTTTTGTCCACTGCCACCTGTGGTGATCGTCTGTGATGGCATGTTGGACGGGATGCGGTTGTTAATAGCAAAAACTCTCAGAGTATTGATTACCTACATGTTGCAAGGTTTCATAATGTCAAAATAATGCTTATTGGGCAGTTTAGGCTTCAATCGTGGAAAAACGTGTGAGCATGTATAGAAAGAATTGTGACATGTATAACAGGCATTCGGCTTTGCATGTACACAGAAGTGGTGTTGCATTAACAAACAACGGTAATTAAAAGAGTTATTAGAAATGAAATAAAATCAATAAAGCCTTACAACGGTCTACGTGTAATCCTCAAAGCAATGGTCCTGTGGTTACTGAGCAGCAGGTTTTCTAAGGCGGTGAATAACAAATTACACATGTACTTATATGTAAATAGATTGTAAGAATTATTTATTTCACTTTGCCTCCTTTACTCTGCAGATACTAGGCAAAATTCAGGAGAACTGGTGTTATGTTTGACTAACCAACACCTAGGACTCAAATCTGACTCTGAAGATAATTTTGCAAGGACCCATAAGGAATTTACTGAAATCTGCTACACTGTCCATCGGCAATGCAGTAGATCACACATTACTTCCATTGTTTTCCGGTACTTAGTTTAAATTCGGACACTACACTCCACGGATATAAAGAACACGGAACTACAAAATGAAGGCCAAGGCTCTTCAGCCCCCTAATCCTTAATGAGGAAAGGCTATTTTACAACTTTCTGGGATAAGCAAATACGTGTTCATGTGCATCAGCAAAGCACTAGTCATAAGAAGTACAAAGTATGTGAAATCTTGGCTGGTAACCTGTCTTTGCCACCAAGATACTGTACTTTCCATGTTTAGCAAACCTCTGTGCTGAGGCAGCTGCACGAAACTGGATTGAGTGGTTAGATTTGGATGGCCTTGGGAAAAACGGAAGTGTAAAATTGGTTTCAGTTTTAGCCTGATATGTCAGTTTGTCTAGTTGTTGCCCGCCATGTACATGTATATGTATGTGTACCGTTCCTTCCTGACTAATTACATGAACGTCCAAAACAAAGTCACGTGAACTTGTGAAAGTGTTGTAATGCATGTAGGAAATTGGATTACCATTGCGTACATTGCTGAACATGTACATGTACATGACATGCTTCCATGTACATGTACATAACATGTTTTCATGTACATGTACATCGTAGGCTGCAGCCACTTCAAAAAACATGGAGGCTAGTCAATTTTTCAAAATGCCAAGTGTGTTACCATATGCACATGCACCTCTAAATGTCAGACTAACGCACCTGCCTGCTGTCTGGATAAGGTCTGCTGTGTCCCTGATGGGCCTACCGGTAGAATGTGCCTGGGCCTTCTGTGTCGATGTTTGCTTGACACAGAAACACTGGTTGTTATTCAAGTGCTGTGTAGGATGCACATGTATGCCCTACATGCGTGACAACAGAACACCTTCTAGTGTTTGACTTCTGAAAGATATTGATGTTCTGTTCAGAGGTATTATGTCGATCAAACAGACATTTTTTTCCATTTAGTTTTGTCCTATTCAAACACATTGGACTAGGCCATCCATGTTGGTGCTTTTTGTGTGTGTGGAGTATGGCTACTCGTCAGTGGGGTCTTAACCCAGCGACATTATATCTGCAAGGCCCAGGACCAGCTCTGGCTCAGAGATTAGAGACTGTAGGGCCCAGCTCTAATTGCTTTTCATGTGGCTGAGTGTTCTGACTTTGTTGAAAAAAAACAACAACACGAGTCGTACCCGTCATTCACCAGAGCTACAGTACCTTTGAGTCATAGACTTTCAAACGAATTTCGCACAATGTAAATCAACAGGAACCGTCATTGTTTTTACCCAAATACATGAAATTGCCGTTTGAATGAGGATGTAAAACTAAGCTTAACATTTAAAGAAAGAGCTCAGTTTGATCTTTCTGAAATGAATACAAAATTACTGAAAATATGATCTTAAGACTTATTTCATTGGATCAGATTACCATTTAATTTCATGTTTGCGACATCAATTTTCAGTTTCACATGTGAAGCTACATTATCTGACAAAAACATCTCGTCGTTTCCCCTCTTTCCGTTGCTGCAGGCATATTGCCCACTTCATGAACGAGGTCCAATTCCCCACTCCACAGAGACCAAGGATACTCATGGAGGTGAGTCTCTTTCCCTCGCTGTCTGGGTGATTTTGCCTTCATCTGGAGTGAGTGATGGCGGTTGATAGGGAAGATGCTATTGTTTGCATTTGAAGCTTACTGTTTGCTGATGGCTATTCGTATAATGAAGGAAGGCCAGGAGTCTAGTCGTGTAGCAAAAACCAGATCACAGTTCCTGTAATGTTCAATGATTCTGGTTTTTGACATGTACATAGATATAATTTTTCTTTATTGGGGGAGGGCACAATTTCAATGCAAACCACTCCAAGTGTATCAAAATCCATTTCTCCTCTGTGTTGGATTTTGATGGACATACCGTAGCCCAGAATGCCTGAGGTGATCAGATTTGACGGAGTATGACGGACATGGTCCAAAAAGTCTTAAGCCCTGCTGGGGTATTCTGTGCATTTTGCCATGGCAACTACTGATGACATCATGTGCTAGTAAGCTGTGAGTGATAGGACCATCAGCAAAGACTGTCACATCAGTGGTGGACTTTGGAGCAAGCAATGGTTTTTTGTATTGGATTTTGATGGATTATGATCCAGTGCCACGTTAACGTCACTAGGGAGTTAGGATAATGGATTACACAGACCCAAAAGACATAGTTTGACACCTGAAGATCTACTTACAGTATGTTCTTTGGATATTCTCATTTGGGTATAACGTTGTGTAACTTACGCCTTGTTTTTTTCTTGTTTCTTATTAAGCTTCTGAAATGCCATCAAAAATATTTTTGCTCATGTAATTGGTGCATTTCTTTTCAAAGATTCCCACTGTGGTGATGTTACGATTATTGTTATTCGTTTTATTGCAATGTTCCTGGGATGTTAGACTTAATCTTGCTTTTTTTTACCTTATGCTGTTCACCTTACTTGTATTCAGTGGTGGTGGCAGGCTTTATAATTCTGTACATTTGTAATGGGTTGCATATGTACATGTACATGTACACGTGTGCAGTTTGTGTCCGAACAAAAATGGCGCAAGTATTCATTTTAAACATAAAATGTCAATCGGCAATATTTATAACTTAGTTTCACAGAGGATATTCTCAGTTTGGTGATGCTTTTTATTTCAGTTTAATTGCTTTTGGCCAATTGGAGTTTTTGGGATTTTTTTCTTTTAAGGCTTTCGTTGGATATAGGATTGTAAAGTCTTCCAGCCATTTTTATTCTGTGAAGTGGCCTCTACCCGTTGTACAAGGAATGTAACCGTTTGATACTGCAGAATCTTAGATTTTGGTGGATTCACTGAAGCTCTTTAGGTTCAAGTGCCCGTCTGTTTTTGTTCTTTCTCCAGCTTGGTCACGACTCCCTGATCCTGGCCCAGCCCCAGACTTCCCCCATGCCCCTCAGCGGTGCCTCCTTCTGCGCCATGCTGCGCAACCTGGCGCCGGACAACAGCATGAACATGCTCGCGTTTGTGCTGCTGGAGCACAAGTTGCTGTTGCACTCCCTCCGGCCGGCCCTGCTCACCGGCGTGGCAGAAGCAGTTGCTGCCGTAGGTTTTGCTATCTCAATACCAGTTGGTACAAATCTGCCATCATTAATTGTCACTCGACCTAACAAGATGAGGTACACGTTGGCAGAGCCACTTTGGTGTCAAAGGCATAAAAAAAAATCTCTCTCCATGTACTTGTTAGTCAGTGGGAACTTTCAACACTCTTTTATCCATGTAATGCCAATTTCCATCAGAATGCCAAACTAAATGGTATATCAAAACTGTGGGCTCAGTTTGCTGTTTTCTGCAGTACAGACTAAAATTGGATGACTCAGTCGGCATTATGCTGACTGCTTTGAGCCCCATTGATCATTCCAAACTTTCCCCTTTCGCCATCTTGCTATCTCTTGATCTTCTTCCCCATTCCAGATGATCTTCCCATTCATGTGGCAGTGTCCCTATATTCCCCTGTGTCCTCTCAGCCTGTCAGCTGTCATCAGTGCTCCGTTGCCCGTCATTGCCGGTGTCGATTCACGCTACTTTGACATGTATGAGCCCCCCACGGACGCTACGTGCCTGGATATAGACACAAACAGCATATTGCAGTGAGTGTCCAATTTCACCATCCCAAACGAGTGATTATACAAACAGCTGTTATGTTTCTTGGCATTCAAATTACGTTAATGGCTAAATTGATGATGCTGGTCGGAAAACTAGGGCCGAGATATCCTTAATTCAAAATTTGTGAATGAAGCAGTAAATATAGAAATATTTTGTAGTACGTGAAAAAGTACAAAATAAAGCACGGACTGCAGGTTGTGGTTACATTTATTTTAATAAAGGTTTGTCAAAAGAACTTGGTTAGAGAGTTTGCCAGAATGCCCATTTCACACTGAATTGACAGCTGGTTTATTTCCGGCACATCTATCTGTTTGGGTAATTTGTTTTTATGGCAGTTGCATTCTGGAATATCATTTGAATAGGAGTTACCAGGAGTGAACTTAACTTGGTTTGTCCAAACGTTTCAAGTGCTAATTACAAATTTGTTTTCATCACATTTCATTTAATAATGGTAGTTTCACTATTCATCAATGGCGCTGTCATGTTTACATTTTACACTCTCCACGTTCACACTTTTCATCCTTTTTCCTCCCCGCCAAGTCATAAATCGTCCATGGATTCCTCAGTGTATGTATCTGCTTGCTAGATGCCTTATCAAGAATCTGTTTTTGAATTAATTACAAGGTTTTTCGCCCCTTAAATTTGTAAATGGGTGCATGTAGAAATTTGCTTGCATTCATTTATGGTCTTAAGTCATTTAGGGCGACAGAAATTTCTGTTTGAATGACGTGCAAGAATGATTTCCAATGATTTAAAATTCTGTTGTGTCTCCCTTTGGGTGTTGCCATTGACGGTTGACTAGCCCATTGCTAATTGTCATCTTACGATTAACAGATCTTTCAGATCTCTCAGTCAGAATTTTGCAAATGCTGTTTATAAAATGGTGGTTGATCCCACTCACTCTAATGAGCCAGCTTGGTATTCCAACAGCACATGATCAAAATGATGCATGTCCGAGGTCATTTTGGTTGGCGTGCCAGGTCTGCCCTCTCAGCTCGGCCCTGTGTGTTCTCCCCGGTACTTGGTTCCCAAATGCTGTTGCTTTTTTGAAATACTGAACGGGCTCATTAAGCATGCACAAGACAATGCTGCAGACTCTACATACATTTAATGTAATGTAGAAATGCTGCGGAGCATTATGGGCTCGTCTGGCTGCGGACATTCAGGAAGAGATTTTGCAGGCCTAATGGGATTTGCCATCACATCTTTGCTGTCTTTGCACAATTCTCCCGTGATTGGTCAGTCGGTTGCATCAGTAATGTGAGAGTAGTTCGGGCTTTCAGGTTCCCAATCCCACGCGGGTACATGAACAGGTAGAATCCTTGCTTATTCACTACTCACTTCTGCTGTAACTTCTGCACACTGTACAAAAGGCATGATGATGTACAGCATATATACCCAAGAGTCCTAGTTTTACGAAAGTCGCTAGTGGTATTCTGGTACTATTTAAGCGCAGGTGATGGTTATTCTTTTGGCCCAATCTAGTGTTTGATTTGCAGGTCTTAAAAAGTCCAGAGTGCAGCAGTTGTGAAATACAGTTCCCTTTTTTATGCAGGTCAGAGGAGAGGAAGCCTGTGACATGGAAAATCTTGCCAAAGGTACCATAAAGTTACATTTGAATTCAAGTACATTACGCCTTTCATATTAGTATACCATAAATTATATATTAGAAGGGGGAAGGACCTGTATGGCTCATTTAATTATATAAACATATAGACATTGATATCATGGTAGAGATTTTTACTGTTTATTTTAGTTTTGTATGATGCATTTAATAAAGAGTTCTGAAGATTTGTATTGCCGCTACAGAATTGTCCCATAGTATGAAATGTGTGTGTTTTTTTACTGTAAATATCTTTCCAAAAGTCATTTTTGAGTCAAATTATTAGTATTCTACCAATGTGTTTCAATGATATTTACAAAGTTACATGCTTGGTCTTAGGAGTCACATGTACATGGGTTTGCCCAAAATGGCCACATTAAAATGTGTCTCTTGTAGCCTATCCCAGATGTTTTGTGAGTTGTTGCATTTGTAATTTGTCTAATGTACGGTATTTTGCCGCACTGAAACAATGCAGAAACCAGCCAAGCGTCTGCACAGCACGCTGACGAGGCTGTATTATGAGCTGTGCGAGTCGGGAATTGGTGATGGGGTGTCAGATGAACAGGTGGTTGAGGTGGCGCCGCTGGAGGTGGACTTCAACCGCAAGAAGAAACAGGTACAGGATTCCGGACACCGGGCAGAGTAGCATGCGCTGTGTCAAACGATCAAAAGGGGGAGGGGGGTAAACTGAGCAGAGGGTTGAAGGAGATAAACAACTTGATACCGATTTTAAAGATACTTGGAGGCTTGCATTTTTCCAGCGTGCCCCTAAACCCTAAAAGGAGATTTCCTCTCTCTGTTCCCAGCACATATCACCATGGGACTTTTTTGTCTGAGTCAAGTCTGTGTGAGTTTGCCTGCTGACATCTCGTAGAGATTTTTACCCAGATGCCATAGCTTTGAGTATGCTGTTCCTGAGAAATATCCAAGTTTTGATTTTAGGTTTCCCTATGATCTGAGTTTACAGGCAGTAGTGTAAAGCATAAATGACCATGATCAGACATATTTTGATTGTTTTAAAACTATGTAGATGTAGTAAGCATGGGTGTCTCTGAACGCAAACCAAGTTCTCAGTGCAATTTGACATTGCATAGCTGAAATCTGAAAAGGTTGAGTTTACTGTACACTTCCGCAATTATTGCATACAGGCATTGTGGAAATCCACCATTTATCTCAAAAACAAAAATTGCACATTAACCAATCTACAATGGATATACTGTTTTCAAGAATATATCTTAAAATGTGGTTAAACATCAGTAAACTCTTAAGAATTCATTTGAGGTAATTCACTTTTCTGTCTGCCTTGAAAATTTACCCAAGCTTGTTCTACTGCCCCAAAAATATTTCTCTGAAAGGTTGACGGGGGTCGACTTTGACACAATATTGTTTCTGATCTCTCGTTGTCAACAGTTACAAATGGAGCACAGGATTCAGGAGGCCTTTCTAACCTTCATGTCGTCCATGCTGAAAGGCTACAGCCATAACCTTCTCCCCATCACCCAACAGCCCAACCACAGAGTCACCGACGCCAGTGCTCGCTTTGACTATCCAGGTAAGCCGGTCATCCTCCCACTGAATGCAGCAAATTCTTTGATTCACTGTGCTTGTTTCAGCCTGCTGAAACGGGTGAACTTGGTGCATGCCTGAGTTTCTTGGGAGTGGTAAAAATTCGCTTCTTGTCAATTGCTGTTGTGGAATTTTGAATTTTTGCCAAAGTTAAATCAGCACTTTTGGAGTAATCCCTTCCTCAGTTTTGCAATTTTTATTGGAAGAACTGGCAAGTGCCACTAGAAAAATGAAAAAGTCAGATCTTCCTAAGGCAGTGCCTGTATCCAATCTTGTTTGTGACTATTTTGTCAGGTGTGTATTGTCTATTATGCACGAATGCCAATAGTTTTACATGTAATCGGCACGTCTTTCATTAAACTGATAGCCTTGGTTGCAGCTGTCAATGCTGTTCTGTGGGTAATTACTTGATGATGGTGTGATGTGCCTCGGTTTTTTGGTCATTGCAGGTTTTATGAAGACTAGGGAGAAGACCTCCCATCCTTTCTTCAAGCAGTTCCTGAAGACGCAGATGTTCATCAAGTTCATCGAGGAGCGGTCCTTCATATCGGGCAACGATGAGCGATTTGCCTTCTTTGACGAGTGCATCAACAAGGTATGGATCCTGTCCGCACTGTGCACAGTTGCCTTTCATCCAATCAGAAAAGTGACAGATAGTGATTAAACAATACTGTTCACCTGTTGGGCATGGGTGCAGAGCATGAGTGTGCCATGCGTCATCAACCCCCAAAGGAGAGTGTTGCTTGATGTCAAAACTTCTATATGTTCACAGTTAACCTTTTGTGTCTCATAGTGCTCAGATGCATTACTATATGCGACCCAGCTTAACAAAATGAGTCACAAGTTGCCAGAGCCACTTGTGAATTAAAGACCTTTGAAAGAACCTTGCACACTGTAAATCACTAGGAACCTTCGACATTTTTCACCCACATAATGTCCTTTTTGATCAGGATGCCAAGCTGAGTAATACACCAAAACGAAAAGCTCAGTTTATTCTGTATAATGCATACTGAAACCAAATTACGGAAGAAATGAGCTCAAGACTTATTTGATGTGATCTGGTCACATATCACAAGGTAGACCATGCTTGAAGCTGAAACATGTGAAGACGTTACTTGGGGCCCGTTTGAAACCAAAAGTGAAGAGCTTCAAGTTCAGACATGACTTAGGCCTGATGATGTCAACCTCAAATTACCTCGGTGTCATTAACCCTCCTATGCTAAGATGCATTCTTGACACAGTTGTCATATCAGTCAAAATCAGTCCAATTTCCCATATGTGTCTGTGGACTGAGGGAAACAGACGGAGGGTTAATGGTCTTGTTTTTGTATGTGACATTGGTCAAATAAGTGTCAGCTGAAAGTGCATGTGACCTTTACTGACACTGTGGTGTGTGTTCAGGCTGCAGATTTCAACATCGGTGAATTTTGCCGTGAATGTTTAATGCCAAATTTGTCATCCGTGCCTTTACTGTTGTGTAGTTTTGACGTGAAGTATCCCAAACAGATAGATTTTCCTTAAATGTAAAAATATTGGTTATGCGCACGATAATCCTCGTTGTGGACAACTACCCTCTCACTCATCTACCACTTTGCATAAATCTTTGCCCGATCAATGTTGGTTCAATGTTGCTGTAATGCAAGTAATTGTGTCTGAAACACAGCTTGATAATGACATCCGAGAGGAGGTTCAGCTCATCGATGTTGAAGATCAGCAGGGCAGTGAGCACACTGTATACGTCACCCCTCCCGATGCCAGTGGCTTTGGAAACGAGGAGTACACGTATGTAGGAATGTCCTTTGTTTTGGGGAATTCCAGAAATTAGGTGTCCATTTTTTTCCGTGTCCCTGTCACGTCTGACACATGAAAGTTCAGAACACATTTTCTTATTTCCCAGAGCGGTGATTTAATGCAATAACCTGCCAAACAAATAGTAAAAGTTTGAAATCAGTTCCGGTGATATTTCCATGTGAAATAACAAAGGTCAGTTGTAACAGGGACACAAAAAAGTCAAACATTTGGACCCCTGATTTCTGGAACTACCCTTTTACATACTGATGGCAGTGTTTTGAGAAAGAAAAAGGTTTTTCTTTTAGAATACTCTTTTTGTGGTGGAGGTTGTTCTTGTTAGACAAAAGTTTGAAAGCAGCACCTCTCAGCATGCTGTTTGTCGGAACAAGCTGTTTCCAATGTCGCAAGCATGTGCCAAGCCACATGTGTGGTTTATGGGACCAACTCAAGATACCAGGCAGTGGCCAAATACGTGCCGTGCGTTGCTAGAACAGAAGGTGATGGTCTGAGCGCAACATTCCAAACAATTGTTGAGATGCTCTCTATGAAGCCAGGTCACTCTGCTGTGGCATTGCCTTGTATCCGTAACCACAGACCAGAATCAGTCCCAGACACAGCGTAAAAGCTCTCTTGTTTATGGATGCATGGTGGAGTGGAGTTTGCTAAGAAGGGGACAATCTTGACAGGTCTTTCTGCCTAACGATGCTATGCAGTAGGATACTGGTTAATGGAGCCTATAATACTTTTCTTCTTTGCGGCGGGCATTCCGCTATGATGTATTTTGACTTTTTCAACTTCAACTGTCCAACAGGTACGACAAGTTCCCACTCTTGAGAACAGAGCTGTTTGACCCCACATCGGGGCGTAAGCAGCCTATCAAGACCCCTGTCAGTGCTCGAGGTCTGCGAGGCAGCGGACAGCAGAGCAGCCCTTTCCCAAGGAGGACCAAGCACGAGATCAGGAACTCTCAGAGGATGGCCAAGCAGCAGGCTGCGTCGCCTGAGCAATGGGCAAGGTGGGTGGGGAGGGGTAGTCACTGGGCTGTGCGTGGTGGTTGGAGCAAAGCGCAGTGAGCACATCACACCCATGCTGCAGTCGTTTCACCGGCTGCCTATCTGTCAGGGCGTTCACTTAAATTTCTTCTTCTCGCATATGAAAGCAGAACTGGACTGGCGCCAGCATACCTCTAAGATCTCATCTGGCTAAAGGTCTCAACCTCATCAAACAGCCTCTGATCTCATTCCACTTCGCACTTACATCTTGCTCAAGGCATGCGTTCCAGTCAGCGGGCATTATCTGTCGCTGCACTTACTCTCTGGAATCGGCTCCCACTGCATATTCAAGAGTCACCCGCAACAGACACAATAGAGTACCGAAGTGTGATGTCATTTAGAACCAGTTGGTTCACACAGGTACTCAGGCTAACGCCTTTTACACACATAAGTGTGCATGTGACATATTCACTTCGGTACTCTATTAAAAACACCCTTATTCAGATTTTGAATAGTTCCTAGAAACGCCTGTTCAATGCGCTTTAGAAATGCAATTTGTCAATAGCATTATTGTGCTGGGTTGTGGGCACTGGGTGTGGGGGCTGGGTTGTGGGGACTGGGTGTGGGGGCCGGGTAGTGGGCACTGGGTGTGGGGGCCGGGCTGTGGG